CTGCTTTCTCGCGCCATCTCGCCTACTTTGTCCACACCCACTTTACAAGTTTAGCTTATTCCTTTCTATTTATTCACTTTCTTCTTTCCTAGCACTTTTTATTTCTATCTTGACGAGCACCAGTGGCCTACGAAAAAGAAAATAAAAGTCTGACTATTATTTTTCGTGAGACAATTTTTTGCAAGTTCCTTCAAAAACACTTCTGCATTTTTTTCGCCTTGTCGAGCCGGCTTCACAAAAATGCGTTCCTCCCCGATGACGACGTTGCATGACGTTGCAAAACAAGATCTTATGTGTACAAGTATAGAGCGCCAACACGAAGTGCCTCATGCGGGAAAAAATACGTCCTCCCAGAATTCAAAATACAAATAATAAAAAGACAGGGTTTTCGGGCCGTGTTTGGTATGCAGATGAGGACTAGATGTACGAGAAGAAAATGACGGACAACGACGCTTACTTTTGTGTAAGCATAGCTAATGTTACATACACGGCTAGAATATGTCGACGATCGTTTTGCTACGAGAGAACCTCTCAAGTGTGCATTTCTAATTCAACCTCCACTGTTTTTTCTATTTTTCTTTAAAAAACTAAAGCTAACCAACCATTTTTTTTTTCAAAACAGAAAGTGCTGGTATAATAAAACTACATAAATAACATCAATATTTCCTTTGTTTTTAGAAGCACCGACAGCTGTATAAAAAAGAGAAGTCAATAATTAAATAGGCTCTTCGATCTGATGCCATTTACTCGCAGAAGCAAGATTTCCGTTAAAAGCATAAGTTATTGGGAGACACAGGGATATTTTTATCTGTTGAAAATCTTTGAGCAGCACGTTAAGTATATTACCATTGTTTAACTCCGGCGCCTAGAAGTGTTGTAATCGCAATAAACATAAAAAACTCTACCTAAGTTTTAAGCAGCGTACTATGTAAGGTAACCACTAGTTTAGAGGTCATGTTAAAAAAACCAACAAACTAAAATGATAGTTACGACAAGAAGTCAATGATCAATAAGTCGAGTCTTGTCTTAATAATCAAAATTTTTCTTCACTGCACTCGAGTTAGATATCTAATGTGCCTTCTCTTTCTCTCTCTGGAAATTAACTTGTCTGCATACTTGTTTAAAAGTGGCTTAACAATACTTTTCTTACTTTAATGCATGGCCCTCTAGCACTTAGTATTTTCTTTGTAGCAGTCATATCTAAGCGTAATTGAGGCACCTCGTATGAATGACGAAAGAAACTTACAAGCTTGTCCTGCAACTTTTCTCTGCAGAGGGCACTTTGAAGCTATGACTTCCGTGTTACAAGCGACCTTCGGCCACACAACGCAACAGTTTAAAGTAAACACACCAGGATAACTTCATCAGGCGTAGGGTTGACACTCCCGCCTCTTAAAAGGAAGTTCGGTTATCTGGCTCCTCGAAGATTTTCTTCTATTCATCCTTCACACTTCTTTATTTTGATTTCTCTTTCTTCTTGAAGAACGCTGAAGCCAGTGGCAGCGATAAAAGGTCCGTGAAGTATAGCCTCACCCCTGCAGGTCGCTGGCGACCCACTTTAATTTCGCCCATGGCAATGAAGCAACATGAAAAAAGGAAAAAAAGAATAGCACATAGAAAATCACTGGGAGTTTGGGGAGTAAGGGAATGAAGGACGTAGTCAAAGACGTGAGAAAGAAAGGCTTGTACAAGAAAAGGAAACGTGTGCAGAGGACAAGTACTAAAAAGTGGAGTTGTGCGGCGCGAACGGAGGCCATGTCATTCGATTCATCACAGGCCGCCTACCAAGATCGCTCGTGCTTCAACTGTGCGCTATTCGTCACCGACACACCAAGCGGACGCACCCGTTGGAACTGCTACGTGGAAGAAAGAAAATAAAGAGGTGAAGTTGGTGAGCGATAAAAGGGTGGAGGCAGCAAACACTGACCACGTGAAAAATGTCCCGCTTTGCCGAGAGAACCGAGTCGCAGGCCGGCGGCACCCGTAGAGTCAAAATGAAACAGCATCGTAAAAACGGAGAATCAAGCAGGACGTATAAGAAGGGGAACAATGTTATTGATACGAGGCAGCCGACGCTGTTTTCGATCAGGGAAAGTACAAGTAGACCCCTCAATAAAGCGTTAAATCGGTGCGCTATACGCTTGCGGGTGCAGTTCTTCGTGATAAAGGCGCGAATGGAAAAGTAACGAATATTGTCGGCGATGTCATTGCGAGTTTTGGAGCTTAAGGCTGCGGACTTGCTGTATAATTGTGATCAAGACCAGTGCAGTAGTTTCGGTTTCAGAAAATGGGCATAGATAAAAGAATCCTTTTTTACGTTATTCTTTATGCTGCGCGGTAGAACGCAGCTGCACCTAATAGAAAGATGACGAACCTCAGTGCTAGTCCTGGGTATTTCTGATTTTTCTCTAGCCTCTAGAGTATAGTAGACAATTACTATGCCTTCGCAAGGAACTCGGCAAACTAGATAATCAACCTCTGTCGGAGGAAATAATTTTACAATATTGACAAGATGCAACATCACAGAAAAAGGCCCTGAGAGTGCTACTGCACTTTTTCCGATCGACCGGCCTTTCGGAACGGCTGTAGCCAGAATGCCCTTCCTGTTCGCGTTTTCGTTTCTCATGAGTGCACGTGCGTTTGTTTCTTTTTCCTCTCTATCTACGCCCTCTTCCTTTCCCTATTTACCCACCCCCAGTGCTGGGTAGCAAACCAGATGCCAATATCTGATTAACGTCCCGGCCTTCCTTTCTCTCTCTCTCTCTATCTCTCTCTAGTGCGTTGAATCTGCGCTGTGCAGAATTGAAAAACATGAACTTCGACACGTATAAACAAGAAAGAGATGAAATTATCTAGTTGCGAAGTTCTCGTGCCATCTCTCGGGGGTGACCCGCACACAACTGAAATCACCTAATACGCAATTTACAATGGCTGCGTCATTGTTTAGGTGACACATATTCAAGGCGAGAAAGTTAATTAGGCTGTGTTCAATCTCACTGGTGACACAATTCTAAGGGGTCTAAGATGACATCAAGTCTACGTGAATCTGAAGTCATCGGCTGTAATTTCATTCTCAAAGCACCGTCCACACAAGTGGGCACATTAAAAAACGAGATAGTGTTTTTCTTCTTTTTTTTTATTCAGGACAGAGCGAGCTTGAAGACTATATGTTGAACATTTCAGCTGGCGACTCCGCCAACCTCAATTCTTCCTAATTCTCTTACTGACAGCTTGTCTCGATTTTCTGACTGAAACAAACGAGCCGCACACCCGGTGGCATGTGCTCTAAACACAGAAAGAAAAAGAATAAGAGGCAAAAAAAAATAAAATACATGGCGACCTGTCTCCTCGTAGTCGTCAGAAGACCATTTAGGGAGTGCTGTCAAAAGAAAATTAACGCGCAATTAATGCCACTCCGTGTTAGAATTAACGAGAGGCCCAGAATGTTAGCGCCTTGTACGCGCATGCAGATTCGGAGAGCTCTCTGTCCAGAACTGCTCGCATATCTTTTTGTCTTCATCTCAGGACGCGCGCCCGATAAAGATGGGAGGGTTGGGAGGAAGGGCTAGTCGCGACCGAGATGATCGCGGAGAACGTTCGGCTGCGAAAGACAGCGCATCCAACGTGAGGCACCGATCGCCACCTGGGAGCTATCAAACTTCGCTCAGCGTCACCACTCTTGATTTTCTCTCCGCTCTTTACTGGCTCGTTGACTAGCGAAGCTCTTCGCAGACACTTTCTTGTCGTAAGCAACTTTGGCGCCAGATGGGGTACGATGTCATGAGGAAGAAGCCGAACGTTATCACTGAACTGTGGCTGGTTGGAAACTGTTAAAAGTAATAGTAAGCTTCGAAGTAACGCGGTAGAGAACTTTCTTCGTGAGAGATGAAGCAGCGCTACACTTCAAAACAGAGCCTAAAAAAATGTTTTGTGCATGTGCTGTAGTAAATGTACTTCACATTTGGTGCAGAGGAAAAAGAAGAGTTCTGATTATCTTTTGCGTGAACTTGAACGCACGTGTCTTATCACAGCCATCGCTAAGCCTGTTAAGAGGTCGTTTAGTTCGTTCATAGAAATAAAGATGCACAAGAAGAACAGACTACGTCACTTACTTGAGGCTCATTGATTGATTGATTGATTGATATGTGAGGTTTAACGTCCCAAAACCACTATATGGTTATGAGGGACGCCGTAGTGGAGGGCCCCTTGAGGTTCAGTCATCAGTAAAAAAAATGGATAATATAACACATTTGGTAAAAAAAAAAATACGTTTCAAATTACATGATATACGGCTACTTAGGGGCTGACGTATCTAGTATGTATGAACAACCCCGCTGTCATCGCTAAGCTCATTCGGAGGCTGTTTTATCATGTTTATGAACAGAAATTGAATGAACAGCTAAGGAAAAATGCGTAAATACTTCAGGCGCCTGTCCAGTGCTTCTCAGTTCCTCGACCTCGTCTCTTATGTGCTGTGGCAACCAAGCATATTACAAACCTTGTCATTCCTGACTAGGCAAAATTTGACATTTTTGTGAGACTATGACGGCTCTAAATATATCGGCTCCACAGTGCATTTAAGAGGGCTCGTTGAAAGAAAATTAATCGAAATGCCATGCTTTTTATACACAATGCGTTCTGCGTTAATTACACTAGCGCTGAGGACCTTAACCAATTGAGACCCCAGGCTCAATTAAATTTAATTCAGCGGCAAAGTTCTACAAGTTACTCCATATCCACTGCCCTGCATTCGATTTGGAATGATGCGACTAAATCTAAACTGTTAAGCCACAAGACAGGCAACCCAACCCCTCCTGTACTTCAATTTGTTTTTCTTTCTCTTCTTTATGAGACTGGAATAAGAAATTTTTGGCAGGTAATGACCTGTGGCATTTAATAACGGGAATGGTGACCTCATGATGTGGGGTTGGAATGTATAAAAAGAAACAAATACACCCAGCACACTAAAACGAACATCAAGCCAGTATAAGTGGGGCTATATGACAGTACCTGTTCTGCGAGTGAGCGTACGCACACACTCCACACGCACAAACGCGTATATTATTATTATAATATATATATATATATATATATGAAGAAACAGATTCAGTGCGCGGAGCTATCGGATAACTGCTATTGTTCTCTTCTCTTCTGTTTCTGACTCGTTTCATTTCCTGCTAGGTGTTCGTGCCCCGCACGCGAGATGAGGCGGTCGCTGACAGCACCCCGCGGTATATGATGTCAGTGGGGGGTGGAGGTTAGTGGGAGGGGATGGGGATGGGGGGTAGCGCGTCTAAAGCGAGGCAGATGCGAGAGTGTCAGCGGTAGTTGGTCTATACTGCGACCCCTCTTTTCTTTCATAGAAAGAAAAAAAAGAGGGGATGCTGTTACAGGCCTCACTGTGCCATATAGGGAAAGGTGGGTGTTGAGACCAGTCGTGAGTGGTGATCGCATAGAATTGAGACCCCCGCCAAGCGAGCGCTGATCACGTGCCATGCCCGGCGGATGCTCTGTTTCCTTCCTTTTCATCACCGCGTCCCGAGCGGCGTGTTACTTACTACGTGGTCGGGATGCGGCGCTTTGGTCCCCGCCCCTTCTTTCTTTGTTCTTTTTCATGTTGTCCTCTCCTATTTCTGCGGTAGCGCTCTTCGCAAATGGCGGCCTTGATAGTGGACGGGTGCTCGGATGGTTCGGACAGGCAGGGTGTTGAGGTTACCAGGGCTGTGCTTGTCTTCTGCCGCTGGTGGCGACTATGAGAGTCCTGTTGCATGCTCGAGGAGTTCGACATGGTACCGCATCATGAGAATACTTTTTGCCTGCCTCTCGCTCTGTGCGTGGGTTGGTGCACGGACCTCATATAGTTTCTACGCTATGTATAAAATAAGTGAAAAGGCGATTTTACTATCCGAGTGCATGTAAAATGTTGACCAAATTACGCGCTGGACTAACGCTTCTCACTTGCACCTCTCGCAAACTAAAGAAAGATGTTACGCTTTCTGATATATGAAAAGATTATAAAAGCGCCACTTGGCTGTGAAACCAACTAATCAGCATGCAACTAATCAGCCAGGTAGCGTATGTATTGAGCTTGTGAGTCAGAAAATATCCCAAACGGGAATCCTATAGTATCACTACTCCAAAATAAAAACTCGGCTCGAATAAAGCAGCTTTAAAACAACGGTCTTGTTTATTAAGCCTTCTGAACACCCTCATTGCCCATAACAGGTGCGAAGTTTGTTGCCATGGGGGTTATGCTGCAATTAGAACTTTCGAAAACAATTCAATTTTATATTTCATACTTAAACTGTTTTCGTGGCTTTGCGCATTATCTTCAATTCAATGTGCAGTATTAAACGAAGGCAATTAGCCCTCAAGATTAGTGATCCCGAACCACTGAAAGTACGCGTATTGTAGACTGCAACCGTTCTTTAATAAGCGCGCTCTTCGCGAAGCCGGTTCGCGGCTGCACCTGCAGAGAGAGAAACAATTTTACAGAGACCTATACAAAAGGACGCGCCACTCATAGAACTCCCACGGCCAACTCTGCGGCCTCGTAACGAGGGGTGCGAATTCGCGACTAACTTCAGCGCAGCCCTTTCAACTGGGTCACGTATTCGCAACACGGATCTGCGTTCTAGAGTTCGGGCTCCCCAGCGGCGTTCAAAATCATCCACGCGGGAAACTTGGTTCCAAGCTCACCGCCAAATCTTCGCGCAGAGTGGCAGCCCGTTCGCAATCCCATTTATAGGGCGAGAGATATAAAAAAAGGGGGGGAGGGGGGAATGGTTTTGGTGCAGGGGGCACCAGCTGACGACCGTAATTGTCCCAAGCCTTCAGTGCTGCCTAGTTCGCAGATTTCTGGCACGTCATACAGGACTGTAGCGTTCAGCTTCTGCTGTAACGGTGTCCTTCATTCTATTTTCCCAGCGCACCCTTTGCTCCTTTTTCCCCCTTCCCAACAACCCGACGGTGCAATGCCGAAAACGACACGTCTCTGGTTATTTCGTGCTCTAGCAACTCCCAGCTATCATCTTTCTTTCTCCCTCTTTTTTCCTTTGTCACGTGTTTTTCAGCTCTCGGTTTAAAACGACCCCGAGCGACCCAGCGCGCAGTTGAGAAATCAAAGGACCGGTGCATTCTAAAGCGCGACCGGTGACTCGCATACTAATAGAGCGCGCTGGCTGCGGCGTTGCAGGCGCTACAGGCTTTCGCTGGAAGGTGCTGGATGCGAGACGACTTCGGGACGTCTCTTCTGGCGTTTTACTTTTTTTTGTGTGTCGTAGCTCACGCTTTTTCCTCAGTCTGTGCTCCGTCGCTTTGTTATGAAACTCGGGCGCTTTTCCCTGTTGCATTGTTTGCGTTTCTTTTCGTATCGCTCTGAAATACGCAGTTCTTTTCTTTGCAGGATTTGCTTGAAGACCAATGCTGAAGTATTAATTCCGTTTGTATTCCGGATGGTGTGCTCGCGCATACGTAATCCAAGGGTATATAGAGCATGGGGGAAAACAGGGCCAACAAAATGCTAGCGTCAGTGAGCCTTTATAAATAAAAATAAATAAGCGAGGAAGCGCAGTGTCCCCGAAAGAATGGGAAAGACAAAACTTTCACTTCTTGCCATCGCCAATAAAAGAAAACTTGTTTCGCCAAAGGAAGTGACGGAAAACTTGTATGCGACATTTGTGATGAGGCCGTGCTTTTTCCGTCTTCCACTGCGCGAAGAGAGAGCTTATGTTTGAAATATACGGGAAGAAATGTCGGATAGGATGCAGGAACGCAAATCCTCGAGATCTGCGATAGAAGTAAGCAAAGAAGTAATGATCAGTAAAAGAAAAAAAAAATGGTTGTGTGAAAACTGCAATGCCACGTAAATATACGAGTGACTCCAAAAGTGATCATGCGAACCGTGCCCCGCCACTCCGCTGTTTTTGTCAATGTTTACAGGTTTTGCCATCCCGTTCCTCCATATGCCACCACCCCACGAATCCTTGCCCTGGCAACTTCTTTAAGGCAGCCTATCAGTCGCTTTTTTTTTTTCCTTTTAACTTGATCGCCGCATGGTGTGCAAAACTTACAAAGTTACCCGCATGCATGCAGACCCGGCGGATCTGGCAGACGATGCGTGGGATTTCCTTCGCGCGGCACTACGACGCACGCTCCGACTTTGCCGCCAACGGCACCGTTCGAACGCCGACACGTGCGGTGTGTGCTTATGCGGAATGACTTCTTTTCTGCGCACGGGCGCTGGGCGGCTCTACCGAGACTCCCGTACGAGACTCCCGTGCGAAGGTAGATACGAAAAAGGCAGAGGGTGAGGAGAAGGAAGGAAATTGTCGGTTTTCGTGCAATGGAGTGAACAGCGCGAAAAAGTCTCGATGTCACAAGAAGCTTGCTGAGTGAAATATATAAAAAAAAGGGAAAGTGGAGTAAGACGTTGAGAAAGCCATCGCCAAGCCGTGGCTCGAGATGAGGTATGCGGCAAAGACGTCACCTAGACTAAGTTCTTCCTTTCTTCATACGTACACCCAATTTGGAGAACAGTTCTCTAGAAAAGCGAAGATTCGGGGCTTGCGAGGCAGGAAGATGCGAAATGGAACATTGCGAGATGCCGCTTCCGCATCGCGGGCCACGCATTCTCGTATCTGTTCTCGGTCTCAAGACACGGAATTTGGACCGAGTTTTTTCTAACGAGATACGAGCGAAACAAGAGGAAGTTGATACAAAACTGAGAAAGGAAGGAAAGAATGAACTATGCGCTCTCAATAGAGCCGAGGCGCGTCAGCGCTGTGCTCGAACATCGCGGTAGTTTATAGTTATTCCCTTTCCGGCCTAAATGGACGTCTCCATCCAATTTCGCAGGAATTCACGACGATGCTTCGGAGCCGGCCTTCAAATGAACTCTGTTTTGCCAAAGCAGCACTATGAGGCAGCCCACCTTAAGGGAGCTTCAGGGAAAAACCATTTGAGGGGGAGGGGGTGATAAATATGTCAACTGCCCGTATATATCTCCAACCATCTTTATATTCTTCAATTAGCTTGGAATTTAAGCTTGTAGCGAAAGATACGTCATTTGCAGTGATATGAGCTCAACCTCGAAACGAGGTCACCCTTAGAAGCCTTCGCGCTGAATAACACTTCAGGCAAACGGCGTAAACATTGAAGCAGCACCGAATACTGCGGGTATTGCTATGGATAACGGAAATTTGGTTTTTATCAGAAATGTAAGGGTGAGTATATACCTGGCGTTAAAGTTCTCAAACGTGGTCACCGCGCTTCATCCTCTAGGTATTCTTTATGAATATATCAATAAACTTTTCCGCATTCAAGCTATCTGTTCAACATAAAAACTGATATTTCCGTTGCTTACTGACGCGAGACCTTAGAAGACTTCTTCTTCAAGATGAAATCTAGAGTGGCGTCCTAATAATGCCAGTGTACTGTAATGTTACATTTAACCCATCGTTCTATGATGCTTGAGTAAGTGTGCAGTTATTTTTTATAGCAAGAATAACTTAAGTATATGAAGATATTTACACAGATGAGGCAAAGAACTATGTTCGAAAAATAATCTTTAACGGTTTCACTGGCAAAACAAAGCAAGCATGAATCCAACTGTTGTTTATCGCAAGAAAAACTTGCTGGCCAAGTTATCGACATAGTATAAATATCATACACGTATCTAGCAAATTTTTAAATTGCAATTGTTCCTTTAGCAAATTTACCGTAGGAGCAAAAAAGAACCAGGTGAACCTCCTGCCTTCCAGGCGCCTTCTCTTTTTTCCTCACCACCAATTATTCCTTGCGCTGATGTTTGTTTGCCCTCACGAGGAGCATTGATCGGTGTGATTTTGTGAACATTACCTACACTGTCTCTTCTTTTCACTCACTCTCCTACTAGGCTCGAGACTTCTCACGATCACCCGGAGTGGCCGTTTATCTTAACTTGGAAAACGCAGTTGAAAATCCCACCTACTTTAGCCGACATTTCAAAGCGTACTTTAAGTGCTTACGGCTCAGAGTCGTAGATCTTAATAATGAAAACATTCATGCAGACAGTAATTGGTTTTGAATCTAGTCTCGTAATACTTGAGACATATATCAATTTTTTCTCGTATGATTTCTGTTCTTTAACAAAATAAATATGATGGCAGTTTCGTAGACTGAACTTAAGCGCGAGCGCAGATACAAGTTCGTTTGTCATCAAGTATAACTAAAGGATTGATTGATTGATTGATTTGTGGTGTAACGTCTCAAGACCAC